CCTCCGTCCCCGCAGCAGGGAGCCCTCGCGCCTCTGCAGCTCACCCACCCAGGCCCGCCTTCTCCCATCACCAGGGCTCACACCGGCCTTGTCCCTCCATTGGCATCCGGTTCCCTCTCCCTCTGCCCTCGCTGTTTCTGACACAGGTCACATGTTAAAGTTGCGTGAACTTTCTGGATCTGCGGGGCTGTTTTGCTCGTTCGTGTTACTGAAAAGCGCGCTGAGCCATTCCAGTCTGGAGGCACCTCCTCTCGGGGTCTCTGCCTGAACCCAGTCGCTGAGGGCAGGTGGGGGGCTGGGAGCTGCTGGCAGCCGTGCACAGGGACAGGAGTGCCCTGTCTCGCCTGCTTTCCATCCTGGGGTGAAAGCCACAGTGTTACTCCCCCATCAGGAGGCCCAGCCCCCAGGTGCAGGCAGGCCCCTCCCGCCGCAGGAAATACCCCTGCGATTCAGGGGAACAGGGGCCCCGAACTTCAGTGGATCTTGGGAAAAGGGAGAACACGTTTCCCTCTTCTTACTCTACTTTTCTAGCTTTGAAATAAACATTCAGACCAGTGATTGGACAGTTTCCAGTGGCAGAGAGACTAAGCCCCGTGAAATGATGTGTCAGAAATGAGAGCATTGGGTGCAGGTGGAACTGAACCTCTGCTGGGTGACAGCGATGCTGAAGGGAAGAGAGGAGGCTCCACGTGGCCTGGTTTGCCTGCTGCTGGGAACCTCACGGTGGGACAGGGTCCAGGCCGGCTCAGGGGATAGAGCGTCGGCCCTGGGACCGAAGGGTCCTGAGTTCCATTCAGTCTCAACCCCATCCCTGGCCCCAGGTTGGGGAGCGTGCGGGAGGCAACCAATTGAAGTGTCTCACACGTCGATGTTTTTCTCTCTCCCCCTCCCTTCCACTCTCTAAAACCAATGGGACAATATCCTTAGGTGAGGATTAAAAAAATAAGAAAGGGTCCAATCCTATTTATATTGTTCTCAGGTTTTCCTTCATGTTTCCTCAAGCAGTTACGAGATGTTTACAAATACGTAAAGGTCTGTGCAATGGATTTGAAAATTCGATGATTACTGTCAATGTGCTTCTTGCGCCTCCTTAGGATGATATGTAAAGCCAGCCAGTTTATACTCTTCTCTCCAAACGCCCCCTTGGTATTAACGACCTCACCCAAAGGGAAACACCTGGGCATGGATGGCACTTTTGGAAGATTCCCTGGTTTTCCTATCAAATCGCTGTGCCAACTTGTGGCTCCGTCACCTGCAAAGACCAGCTCTGGTGTTGGCGGGAGACTCCCTGTGGGAATCCTGACTGTGCAGAGCTGTAATGGGCAGGCAGATGGCAGCTTCCGGAAGGACAGGCTCTGGGCTCACAGACACAGATGACCCTCTGTCTTCTCAGATAGGCCCTGCGAGGTGACAGAGGCTGGTGGGGGAGTTGTATTCTTCCTTTGCCAGCGCTGGTCGGATGGCAAGGTTGGGTGGGCTGTACTCACCTCTGCTCATGAGGAAGGTGGTCTCAGCCGAAGGGCCTCACCTGGGCAGGTGTGGAAAGTCCCTTGGGGCAGGCAGAACCCAGTATCTCTGCTGCCGGGTCAACTTAGCTGATAGAATTCACCTGGTTCCGCTGGTGTTTCTACCCTGTTGATTGCCCAGGATAAGAGAAAAATCTGGTTGGAGGGATACCTTGTGTTGCAAACTGGTGCCTCTGGGGAAACACCACCTGTGGACGCACCTGTTCTCTGACCACATTTGTTCTGTACGAGGCCAGGAAGCCCATCCCCCGTTGCCAGGTGCTCCTGTGGAGTCTGCGTTTGCAGGAATGAAGTGCATCTGGGACCACGATGGGGGATGACAGTGTCCCCAGCTCACCTGGGGAACCGGTGCTCCGTGTGCAGCAGGTGCTGGTGACTCGGGATTCTAAGGTGCTCCCAGCCCCCAGAGCTGCCCCGAGAGACGCCCCGAGAGGCGCTCAGTGCCTTTGGGACAGTCCAGCCTGAGAACTTGAGGTCACTGGAGGAAAATGAGGGATGAGTAATGCAAACTGGAGCTGCCACAGGAAGGGCGACCGAACAGGAAAGGCACTGGTAGAGGGATGCAGAGTTTAGGAAAAGCCGAGGTGGAGGCTGCGCTGGGCACCGTGAAGCTCTGGTCCAGAGGCCCCTTGGCCCTCACCTATGGGTGTGGGCAGAGCAGGAGCAGGGCACACGGGATTCCTGTGCCCGGAGCCCCCTGTCATCCAGGGGAGATTCTGGGAGCGTCTCTGCAGATGCTGAAGCCCACGGCTGCATGAGCTAGACTGAGGAAACATGGCGGCCGGTCAGCAGCCTTGAGACCAGTGCCCCCTCCTTCCAGTTTTACTCCAGTCGTGACTGCTTGCGGGGCTCACCGTGTGCCAGGCGCTGAGGAGGAGGGTCACATTCTGTGAGGAGCCCGTAGACGGAAATGCTGCCGTCGCTGTTCGCGGAGGGAGAAACAAGCACAGGCGGGTGAAGGAGCTGCCGCGTCAGAGCTGAGATCTGTCTCCGCGCTCCCACTGCCTCGTCCGGGCTCTCGATCACCTCGATGAGCTGCTTTAGCAGAAGCAGCAGCCAGCGTGGGTCAGTCGAGGGCCTGCTCTGTGCCAAAGACACTCCGTCTCACTTGAAGTGGACACTCTAGATTCTGTCCACTTTACGAACGAAGAGACCAAGGTCTGGAAAGGTGAAGCAACTGCCTGAACACACTCCACTAGCTGAGCCATCGCCTGGATTTGGACAGGCAGTCGGCCCCGCACCGTCAGCCACTGAGCTAGAGCGTCCAGCACCAGCCGCAGACTGAGCGGAAGTGACCGCATCCTGGAAGGAGGCCCTGACACGGCCTGATCTCCAGGAAAGCACGTGTGCGGCCTGGAGCCACGTGGGAGGGAAGAGCATCGCTCAGTTGTAAAGTCTGACTCAGGACGACACCTGAGCAGTGGGGAGGCGGCAGCTGTGGCCCACATCCTCGAAGAGATGGGAGTAGGACCGCTGCAGACCCTGAGGGTCTTCCTTAGGTCTTTGGAGCCCAGAGGGCGAGGTGTGTGAGTCCATTGCTGGTAAGAACATACACGGCCGTGCTAGAGAATTATGGGCAGCCCCTTCTCTCTCAGCTGGAGCATCGGGGACAGGCATAGAGGGCCTGGCCCAAGACAGCTCTTTGGACCGAGTGTCCTGGAGCAAAGACCTGGAGGCCTGGGTGCACATGGTGGGTGGGGATTAGGTCACAAGGTGTGGCCTCAGCACAGAGTGTGTGTGTGTGTGTGTGCACGCGCGCGTGTCGGGGGAGGGGGGTGGTGGTGGCAGGAAATGAGCCAGAGTGCGACGTCTTCATGTTCTGCGGGGAAGCCTGGGCGGTCCCTCAGAGGCACTGACTGGGGATCCCCAGGAGACTTGAGACAGAAAAGTGTGTGATCAGACCCCATGGACACGGGCCCTGTTCACCGTTGTCAAGCCTGGGCGGTCCCTCAGAGGCACTGACTGGGGATCCTCAGGAGACTTGAGACAGAAAAGTGTGTGATCAGACCATGGACACGGGCCCTGTTCACCGTTGTCGGTGACGGTCCATCCCATCATTGATGTTTCTGTCTCTCTCCCTCTCTCTTCCTCTCTGAAATCAATAAAAATACATTAAAAGAAATGGGCATCCTTCTGTTTGAAGTGCTATTGGCCACTGTGAAGGAGCCACTGTACCCAGATTCCTGAGGCCTGATGAGCTTTCTCCCC